TTGAAAGATTTTTTCTTACATAGTTCTATGTAAAAGTTTGATCTTTTATTGTTGTCCTACACTACCCCTGGGGTCATGATTTGAACAAACTTGAATCTACATTACCTGAGGTTGCTTCCATTTAAATATGACTAATCATGGCTTTGCTGTTCTCGAGATTTTTGAAGATATTTCCTATACGTTCCTATGTATAACTTTGATCTCCTGATGTGGCCCACCCTACCTCTAGGGGCCATGATTGGAAGAAATTTGAATCTACACTACCTGAGGATGGCTTTGCTGTTCTTGAGTCCCTTTTCCCAAGTATGCTTTGTGGCAAGTTTGGTTGAAACAGAGGTTCTTAGGAAGAAGTCGAAAATGTGAAAAATCTTATAGACGACAACCTTCAGTGAACTAGAAACTAACAAATGAGTTGACAGTTGAACAAAAAGAGAATTTAAGAATCCAGTATTGAAAAGGTCATTTGAAGGTCAAATAAATATATTCTTAAGCATTTGTCCGATACACTCTGTCAATAAAAAATGCACTGGGAGTTGTATCTTGACGTGACAGTAACATGTTGCAAAACATTGTAACTCATTTTTAGAGATTTTATCTTTGCCTGTCATCATGTTTCTGGAGGGCATTCCTCTTGTGGGGTGGGTGGCCACACACATATTCAAATAAATAAATACCAAGGTATGTTTATAATTGTGAATACTTTTACTCTTTGTCGATATATTTTCTGCGCTTTAAGACTAGAAATGTTGGAATTTTTAACCATGTGTTATAGTTCAATAAATGAACAATGTCATATATTTAAGTAAAATGAGTGCAAATTACATTACCATTTTGTCCCCAATTTTCAATTTCGATAAACCTAAGATGTGTAAAATAATAATAATTGTTTATTTTATAAATCTTATGTGAAAAGGGGCATATTACCGGTCATAATTCTGGTCAATGCCTTATTTTATGACTGTGAAGAAATTTATTTATTTAACTTAAAAAATACTTCGGAATTATTATTTTCTATACTAGATTTCTTAATTATCGGAAATTTAAATTTTCACTGCCATTTTTATATGGAAATGTACCAACATGTTGAAATTAATGGTGTTGTTCTGGACTGTGTTTAATGTCCATATTGAGTTCGATTTGAAATCTGTTTCTTGAATTTAGGCAAGTCAAGTATTACTCAATACTGAGCTAAATCTACTCGTATTCAATAAACTAATACGTGTATATAAATAATACCCTTTCGAGAGGTCAATTCCATAGATATATCGACTTTACAGAAAAGCAATTTGACCGTCTTTTAATATAAAGAAGATACATATTCGAGGCATTGTTATGTCTTATTCAGGGGCGTCGGCAAAGGGGCGACAGTCGCCGCCCCAATAATTTTGCAAAAAAAAAAAAAATAAATAAATAAAATAAAATAAAATAAAATAAAAAAAAAAAAAAAAAAAATTATGAGAAAATACAGAATTACAAAATTTGTAATGGCAATATCTGTGGTCAATGGAGCGGCAAGAATAACGGCAATCTGTGGTCAATGGAGCGGAAAAGTGTGAAAGCTATAATTGTTTACACAGACGCAAATTGGGAAAATATACATGTACGTATTATATAGTACTACCTGTACCTGGCGTGTGTAATCAATAAGCATGGTATCCATCGCTCTGTGAAAGTTTGCTACAAATCCTTCATCAGGCCTGCAGCTAGCAACGTTTTTGGAAACGGGCTGGGTGGGGGTTCTCTAAATTTCCTGAATTTTTCTTTTCAAATGGTGAAATGCTGGATTTTGCCCAAGTTCAACCCTACAGCAACAAAAAGTCTGTATGAAAGTGGGGATGAGCAGAGTCTAAATGTATGAATTTTTTACATACCAAAACTTAAGGAAAAGACTATTCTCAGAAAAAGTGGAGAAATTGGGAAAAAAATTGGAGCCCCCCCCCCCCCCTTCCTGACAGCTACCGACGCGTATAACAGGCCTGTATTGGTCAATCGATGTTTGGAAATCTTTGATTAATCGAAGTTGTAAGCTATTTAATTAAAGCAAAATACTAAAAAACTGGATAAGAAAATACTATTTAAAACAACTTCAGTTGATTTTTTATGTCTTACATATTTCTGCATTTCAGAGATTGTGAAGGATTAATCACCCTGTTCATTTTAAATTTCATAATTATGCATTCTTTCGGCAAGTAACAAATATTGTACAATAATAAAAAATTATATGTAATTTAAATTTTACCACGTCATAAACCCTTCAAAGTTTAGTCTCTGCCGTTTCGGAAAAAAAGAAAGAAAACTAGCTCCTAGCTATGTAAAAATATTCCGGTTTTGTTTTATCTATATACTACATGTAACTTAAAACGCATAAAAAATTTTTTTGGTTTCATGTTTAATTGTTCTTTTTTAATCAGAAAATACCTCTAGGCTATTGACTTAATGGGAAAAATATCAAGATTTTGTAATTTCAGTTATTCAGTTTATGTCACAAAGAGTTGGTTAGGACACCCCCCTTTTCGATCCAGTTCGCCTCCCAAATGTCAAATACTTGCCGACGCCCCTGTTATTATATTTTATAGAACATCAAAATTACAAATAGGAGTAAAAGCACATTGATTCTATTTTTTTTTTTCAAAGAAACATCAAGTTATTATAGCTATTGTGAAGTCAACACGTTTTTGTTTTATAGAATTTATAGCAGACCATTTCCATTTTTTAAAACATCAAGTCAATATGCGTTTCAATCTCTAAATAATAAAACAAGTCGTTATCCTGTTATAAACTTGATCACATGATCAAGTTTTAGCCAGTCAGAGAGCTTTGAATAAAAGGGAAAAATAATACCTATCCTTAGTAATCTTTGTGAATAAATACAATGTTGTATTGCTAGGCAACAGTATATATTTATTTACTGGGTTCGAGGTCAACATGCGTTTTGTCGGACTCCAGAACCAAACAGTTTGGTTGAGGGGTCGGCAAAACGCATGTTGACTCGAACCCAGTCAATCAATTTTTTTTTATTTGGACATACATATATTTTGTGCTGTCTTTCATGACGTAAATTTCCTTTACCCGCACTGCAGTTAAACTCGGTCAATTCCGTCACTGTCAAACACCAACGAATGCAATGCTAGTATGAGATTTAGCTGATCCCGCCCACAGTGTGACGTAAGCGGTCCAGTATCTAATCGACAGGTCCAATATCTCACTCCGCGGTCAAACATCGATTTTTTTTTTAATGACAGCTCAATAAAACATTTGAAATGTGTGACTTTTTTTTAAGTAGAGAATTAGGAACCAATTTTTAAAGGTATAACAATACAAATTTAAATATATCAAGAACATGTTTAATATACTCGTGTATAACTGTATGCTTAAATGTAGGTGTCGGTTGCATTTTTTAAGTATCATAATGCAATTTTATATGTATGCGTGTGGAAAATTATAATTCACGTTAAATTTTACACTTTCTGAATGCTAAATCAAAACGATTCTTTCATTGCTTTACATGCCAGGAGCAACAAAATCACATGTCTTTCATGTTGTGTACAAGTTATAATCTTTGTAATATATTGCAGGTGTCATTTGCAACCTTTTTTTTAAAATTTCAAAATGCAACATTATCATACAAATGCAATGTAATTTATTATATGTAGGATAATAATTTACATTTTGAAGAAAGTTGACTCATCCGAAGGACCTGTTTCCACGCCCCCGCCCGCAGGGGATTCGAATCCACGACTTACACGTAATATAAGAACATCTAACTCCGCAATGCTAGTAAAGACACATACACCTCAAAGTATATACAGGGCAGTGTATATAATTTAAGATAAAATTATCAGGGTACTAGCCCTAATTTTCTCAGATGTTATGAAAAATAAACTTTATATGAACGAAAGAAATAGTAATGTTAGATCTTAAATTGCAAAACTTTAATGTAACATAATCTTAAATTATCAAGGCATCATTCAAAGTAAAAGTGCTACAATGTAGCAGACAGGTGGATCTGAAATATTCATGGGAGATCTAAAATAAGTTACGGTCAGCAACGTAATAATGAAATACTGAGAGCTGACCGTAAAACAGGCATTTAGAAGAACAGATGACAATTTCATGACATTATTAATCATCGTAAGGATAGGGGGAGCTTGACAGCGCATGCACAATATTAGAGCAAGGCACACGGAATTGTAATAAAAAACGAAATATGGGTTTTCATAAATATTGCTGAAACCATGCTTAGACGTATGTTTTGACATAAGTGTAATTGAAATTAACTCTATATTTACTGGTGTTAAATAAATATACATCAGATTCTATGCTTTATGATCTACTGACCTGATCATTTTTATTTTTCAAGCCCATGGATTGATTAATGAGATATAGGCAATCAATGTCAACACCTATGGGAAATATTTCACTAAATACTAAATATAAAGCCTAGTGAATGTAATTTCAATTAATTTAAGTTTGGAAGTTTAAATTCCGAAATGTCTGACGTGTATTATGTATAAACTCCTTTAATAACACTTTCATTCACAGTATTGAAAAAAATATTTAATGCGTTGAAATCTAATTTTTAATTCTTTGTGATGAAGTCCCCTTACCTAAAATAAAAATATGAAGCACACACTTGCAGAACCAGTTTGGAGAGATACATGTATCTAAAATATCGCTGTCTAAAAAGCAGAAAGATTCAGATTTGAAACTTCTTTAAAATATTCTTTGCCAAATAAATATGAAATGTAAATAATCGGAAAAAGTTCATTTTTAACTTAATATCAAAAACTTGTTCTAAGAATTAAAATTAATTAAATAAATAAAATAAAATGAAATAAAATAAATTTTAAAATTTAAAAAAAAAACCTCATGGGTTCTGTTTGTGTCACCTACACTTAATTTTTTTAATAGAGTGTATGCTTTCCGACGAAAAATTTATTAAACAAAACAAAATTAAAGAGTAAGAACTTTGACCCTTGACCTTTTCAATTGCAGTGGCCAAGCCTTTGTAATAAATGTCGTAAAAAGGACAGGAGACAGTGGGTGTATAAAAGCCCGCTAAACTAATCACCAGGCACTGTGGGTCAAGTACAGTCAGCGGTTACGAACCTTCCACCTCCTAAAAATTCACTTCCGACGCCATGATCAAGGAAATTCTTCTCGTCCTGACGGTTTTTGGTTGCGCTTGTAAGTTTCAATTTGGATTTGAATTTAAGAATTTTTTTCGGGATTATTTTTCGTTTTCTGTGAACTTTTTCTCAATTTATGTATTTTGTGAAATATTTTCAGTTGTTATAAGGATACTAATAATTTTGCACATACCATTACTGATGTTTCGTATGATTATGCACGGCTATCTTTAACACTCTTTAATGTCGGAAAGGGTCGCTATTTTATTTACAGCTGCCCAACTAAATAGAAACTTTGCCCTTCTCTGGGCCCTAAGCTCTGGCGGTAAGGCTAATGTTGGTGATTGTCCATTTTTTATTAGTATTGAGTTTTGTAGATTCTCTCTTTCGATTTTTTTTTTAATTTAACCTCTTGCATTTTTCATCTTCCTGCGATTGTTTCATTTTTTCTGTAATTATCAAAATATTATTTTAGTTCAGAATGGTGTTAAAAAGTTTTACAACATAAATCTAAAGAGATGAATCTAAATTAAAAATTTGATTACTCTTTTAATTTAAATAGCATTTATTCTTATAATCATATGTGAATTTGTGTCGTGTTGTTGATGCTTGAAATGTATAATTGTGAGATCGTTTTATGGTTAGGATTGGGGATCTGTGATGTCTATTGTACATATGTGGATCCTATATCCTTATATTCTATAAATCCAGTATACGTTTTTGTTACTGTTATTGTATTACACCTTTGTAGTGTTTAAATTTAGTTAGGGTGATGTGAATTCCAAATTGACAATTAGTGAATTTGAGTATAAATTTAGAAATGCGATATTTCATTAAGTATATTGAATTGGCCATGATTATTTTCTAAATATCAAATATTTACTTCCCTTCTCACAAACAAACAATAAAAAATGAATCAAATACACGATTTGTATAATAACTCATCAAAACTTGCGAATTGAAGAATTTTGCATTTCAGTCATTATCAGCTGTTGTGGAAAAGAAATTATTCTTAAATGTTGTCTTTCAGATGTTAGCGGACAGATGAACCCAATGGCACTTATGGCATTGTCTGGAGGAGCAGGAGGAAGGGGAGGGGCCGGGTCATTAATGATGCGCCTCCTCAACAACCCTTACAGTCTTTGTAAAGAAACAGAAGGAGTTAAAGCCATTCCTTGTCGTACCGGTAACATCTGCGATCTCCTCTCACTGAGACAGTACCGTCTTCCCAATCTAATGAAATGTAGCCCCGCTGGTATTGGGTGTTGTCTGAAAGATTACATGTCTCTGCAACTAAGCAAAATGATGAACTGAGAATGCCCAGGTAAAACATGGTTTTTGTTTGTTTGCTTTTTTTTTTTGGTTTTGTTTTGTTTTCTTTTGTTTTTATCTAATTCACTTGAAGATTAATTGGAACTTTAACAAGAAATGCGAAATATTGTTATTTTTTAAGAAGAAGTAGTCCTGTGATATTTGGTTCAGATATTTTTTGGTGAAACGGGGTTTCATGTTTCATTTAGGTGTCTGAAGTATTGGATTTTTCTTTATTTTTCTTTATTTCTTATAGCTCTTGTGATAATTTCTCAAGTTTGCCATCTCTTGATTTCCCCCTAAATATGTAATATGCCCCACAGTGTGTCAATAAACTGGGGTTTTACACTGACCAGTAGTTCTGTAATATTTGGTTCGGATATTTTTTGGTGAAACGGGATTTCATGTTTCATTTAGGTGTCTGAAGTATTGGGTTTTTTCTTTATTTATTTCTGATAGCTCTTGTGATAATTTCTCAAGTTTGCCATCTCTTTATTTCCCCCTAAATATGTAATATGCCCCACATTGTGTCAATAAACTGGGGTTTTACACTGACCACATGTTGACCTCTCTACCAAATGATTAAGACAGCCACTTTGTTAAAGAATATGACAAATTTGATCTATGCTATCCTAAAACGGGACCACTTTCCGGAGAGTGATTTTTGTCGCCTGGCACATTTACGGCTTGTGACGTCAGCGTTGTGCCAGGCTATATATGGTCATGTGACATGTTTATTAGAAATATATCTTTCTTTCGGAAAAAGAAAGTCTGTGTCAAGAGTATTGTGTTTAGACATGTGGATATTAAACAGTCAAACTTACTGTCCTCTTTTGTGATTGCACAATCCATCATACATGGAAATAGCAATGTCGTAAAATGTGATGGTTGTCTGATTTAATACAAAAGGAGAGGGAAGAGAAAGGAATAAAGTAAAAAGGAAAAAAAACAAAGAAAAAATGCCATAGAATATATTTTATGCAAAAATTTAGCCGGAACTCATCTTGTGGTAAATAAAAAACTTTAAACAATATCAAGTAAATTTGAGACCTTGTCATTGACTGATTTTTCTTTTCTTTTCAAATTTCAGAATCTCATCTTTTACCAAATCATACAAAGGATGCACAAATACCAGGAGAAAAGTTTTATTTTCTGCAGTGCGATTTTAAGTCGTTTCATTAAATCAGCAATTTCATCCAAAAGGGTTTTTTTAAACATTTTGTTAAACGTTGTCAGTGGTGAAGAGTTTGATAGTCCAGAAGACCGAATGTCTCTCCTCTGTTTTTTGTGAGAAAGTGATGGGACCCACATTATAGTGTGAATGAGAAATTACTGTTGCCAATAAAATTTTCAAAATAAGAATAGTGTTTCTTTTACATGTAGTTTGCATGACTATTTGTATTTGAATAAAAACTTGAGAGGACACTCAACATTGCGAATAAAGTGAAATGTGACGTTGATAAGTCCTAAATTCTCAAGTTTTTCCCAGTTTTAGCTTCGGTACTAAAGAAATATAATGCAAAGGATAAGGTTTGGTAGCGACCAAATCTGGCTCCTTATTTGATATAAAAATCACAAATACAACTGACAAGTGAGTGTATGTGCCTTTCTGAGATTTTCATATACAAGATGCATCTGATTCTGGCGCATGAAATGTATCAATTTGATTTAAAAAAAAAAAAAAAAAAAAAAAAAAAAAACTTGCGTTCTGTATTTGCTCAAACAAAGAAGATGGGTGAACATGACGAGCGAAAAGCCTATAGTGTGACAAACATGAAGGTGAAAAATTAAATCTCAATTATATCAAAATTTTCATTGATATTTGATCTAACATTAAAATATACTTTATGTTAAATCTCTACAATTTGCAAAATCTCACAAAGATTGAAATTATTTGCTTATGAAATATTGTACACACACTAAAGAGGGCAAAAAGAGTCATTTTCTCATACTATAACACTATTTTTCGATATGAGTGGGTCTTCGCTCCATTTTTTTGAAAGTTAATCCTCGAAGTTTGCATAAAAATATACATTTTTTGGTTTCCTAAAATATGGAGCAAAGACCCACTATACCTTAAAAATATACTTTTATGACATATCATTCGCATCTTTTCGAGAAATACTTGAAGTCCAGTAAGTCAAGGGTCATAGCACTAACATAATTTAAATGCCACTATTTATCAGATCTTGCGTAGTCTAGTGGTTAGCGTGCTAGTCTCGAAAGAAAATGATACTCAGGATTTTTATTGCTAGGGTTCGAACCCCCACGAATATCACATTATTTTTTAAATAAAAGAATAAATTTTCCGAGAAAATTTTCCTCAGAAAAGCTTTGTTTATCATAATTTCATACATTTCAATAATGAACTTTACTCTAAATACTGAATTCACGAATTGAACATGATTTTATATATTTGAAGCTATAGGCTTTCTGCATGCTATGTTCGCCCATCTCCTTTGTTTTGAAATTGATGAAAATTCAAATAAAAATTTGAAAATTTGGAAATTGACATATTTTGTGACCTTCCTTTGACCTCTGTGTATCCTTTGTAACAGGGGTGAAAACAGGATTTTGCTAAATAAATGATCTAATGCATCGTTCTTAGAGACACCCGAAACCATGGACCAGAAAGGGGTCTTAATTCTATGAAAATTCTTCAATAGAGCATTCCATTAAGTGTAAAAAAGAAAAAAAAAATTCAGGAGCTTGCAATTTCTTATAATTCACAAGTGTGTCACGGTTTGACCTAATTAAGGTCAAATCTGATGCCAAAGGTCGCTTTCTAATGAGACTGTGAAGATATGTTTCAGTCATAACACTGAAAACTCTAAATGTATTCAAACTCGAGTAACAATGTTTAATTAGTGAATAACAGGTGTGTTGTTGTCTTAAAGGGGCCTGGACACAGTTACATTGTTTAAAGTTTTAAGTTTCTATTTTTGTTTTAAAATGACTTCAGTTTCATGAACTGAACTTAAATGAATATTCTCATAATTCGACAACTACATTCTTCATTACATCACGTCGAACATCAGTGATTACAAACAGGACACTAGCTCTGTTATTGTTAATGTTTACGTTCTACCGGATGTGTTCAATTTGTTTACTCTACACACATCACTGACTGACGATACTGGGGAGTTGGTTTTGCCTTCTTGCACTTCTACTCTGAATTTTCTGAATTATAGTTCTAATATTTTTTTATTTAAACAACAAAATTTCTACTTTTCTTAAGTAATAAGGAAAAAGTTTCCTTCATGAAAGTAAGCAAGAATACTAGTATGTGTCAATCAAACGCGTCCCGAAATTCGTAACTTTGATAATTCCCATATACAAGAAGTTTCTTAACATGCTTTTATAATATTTCGGTATGAACTGCACTTGCAACGTATAAGTCATGGTATTATACTGAAAATTTTAGAAAATATTTCAATCAAATTTGTGTCCAAGCCCCTTTAATGTTTTAATGAGTTTAATATTTACAGGCCCGTAGAACGCGGGGCTTGGGGGTGGGGGGGGGGGGTGGGGGGGGGAGGAAGTATGCCCTTTCCCTTTAGAGTAAAGTTAGTTAGTTCATTGTTTTTTTTTAAGACATGTAAGTCTAATACATATACAGTCAAACCTCATTATCTAGAACTCAATTGGACCTAGAAAAACCTTCGAAATTACCGAACTTATTTGGTAATTGGCTGTTCCGTACATTCTGTGTCATTGCATAGGACATAATTTGGACATCTGGTTTTCACTCTTTCCCGATCACTTCCTTCAAAAGGAATACTTGTTTTTTTTATTTATTTACTTCACATTATAATACTATTTTGGCCTATAGCGTTATAAAATGTTTATGTATTTTTGCCAGTATTCTCTTGTTGCTATTATCTCGACTAAAAATTCCTCCAATTTACGTAGTAATCATTTCAGGTATTAAAGCCATATGGTCCAAAGTTGTTGAACGTGCTTCTCGCCGAAAATTTTTGATTTATTCTCTTGTAAATTTATTAATAAATTGTATGATTATATATAAAAGTTTCCCACTTTCCAAATTACATCAGCAAGTTTGAATCTGTCCCAAAGAAAGGTTAAAAAATAAATAAATAAATAAATAATAAACAAAAATACAAAGATCGTAACTAGTTTAAAAGATTGTAACTAATTTAAATAACCTGAAATTAAAAATAGCCGGTAATTTTACGGAATAGAGGAGCAAGAGGAGAAAAGCAGACATCAAACAATCTACTTTAAAATTATATAAACAAAATAATTGCACGTGTCCTGAAGTAAGAAGATGGGCAAATTATGAAATTTTTTTTATCCCGTAAACAAACTTTTTTCTCAATATTTTTATTGTCTGGAAGCTCTGGAATCAAAAAACTTATTGAACAACTGGTTCCTATCATTATAGTGAAGCATAGAAAAAGGGGGGGGGGATACATATTATTCATACCTAACATTCCCACTTTCCAAATTACATCAGCAAGTTAATGTATGTAAGTAAATTAAAATAATTAACATACACCACATATATGTAACCTAATGTAGAAGAACAAAGAGACAAGGTCCTTTAACTGTTCTTTACAAGGATTATCCCTAAATTCTGTAGACAAGTGTATTTTTAGGAACCCGGTGTCGTAAATGAATGAAACTTTGTGAATAGATTAAAGCAATAATAAATTTCAAAATTTCATTGTCTGGTGTTAGAAGGTGGCGCATTGAAATTTTACGAAATTTTTTACTATAAAGAATTTCGGGAATAGAATCAATGCAAAATGTCAGATTCTTAATATTGTGTAGTGAAGTACCTTTCCTTCAATTTCGTTGCATATGCTTTTATCAACATGAATTTTAAAACTTTTTATACGCGACGGTTTGAAATCGGACTTAATAGCTGAAGAAAATAGCGGTTTCTTTGACACAGGTGTCGCACTTGATTATGCTCAAATGTTCTGAACTTGATTTCACTCCCACGGAAACACATGTATAAATGTCTGGTACCCATGAAA